CAATGCTATACTAAACAAATGCTTTGGTCTAACATTACGAAACTCAGTGTGTGCCATAAGCAGCATGCCCTGAAGGTACTCAAAAGATTTTGAGACAGCGCCACCTGTTGGTCAAAAGTTATAATTAATTTCTGAGAACGCTAATAACTTTTGAATAAATTTGCCTATTGCAATGAAACTGATCTTAATAGATTCCTTGGGTTATGCCGAAAACATAGATATCAGGTTTTGCATAATCAGCCAAACTTCCTGTTTGCCATCTTTATTTCTTTGAAAAGCCTTCTTTTTCGAACTCCTCCTAGACCGTTTGTCCGATTTTCACGAAAATTTAATCGCATCATCTCCAGACCGTGCCGACTAAAAGTTATGAATTGCACGATGATAGACAAAACCGTTTTCGTATACCACAGCATCAAAGTTTAGGCATGCTGCCAAAATTACTATTTAGGCTTTATCTCTGCAATGCCTTCACATTTTGACACCAAACTTTGCATGTGTCATTGTCACCTCCCTCTGACCACATCACATCTATTTCGTAACTGCGCCACCTATTGTTCGAAAGTGATAACCCATTAAATCATCTTATAAGTTAATGTTTATGTGATTTTTTTTAGCCATTTGCCCAAAGTTCTCTCAAAATGCCCTTAATTGCTCCTTGCTGCAGTTGGTCTGCCACTCCTTGCCATTTTGGCATATGTTGCCGCTTCTTGCGCTTGGCCCCGGTAATGGCTGCTTGCAGCTATATTTATTATTATTATTCTTCTTCCGACTGGGCGTCTATGACAGCCCATAGACCGGTTTGCGGGAAAGTTGTTTTGGTTTGACATTCTGATAGAGGACAGTCCCAACTTTAAATACACCAATTTTGGTGTCTCTAACTCATTCCCTCTAGCGCCACCAACTGTCCAAAGTTGCACTTTTATTATGCTAATAACTTTTGAACCGTAAGGCCTATCAACAAAATTCTTTTTTCCTCTTGTTCCTGAGCTCATGCCGATTCGATCGCACCCTATGACGTCATTTTCCGTCATAAAAAAACGGCCGCCATTTTGAATTTTCCAAAAAACCTACTTTTGCGAACTCGTCCTAGACGGTTTGTCCGATTTTCACCAAAATCGCACCGGATCATCTCCAGGCAGTGCTGACAAAAAGTTATGGAATTCAAGATGATTCGAAGAACCGTTTTCGATAAACGCGCAAACTAATTTTACGTAGAGCTTGCAAAAACAGACGTGAGGCTGTATCTCCGCAACGCTTCATCCTATTCAGACCAAACTTGGTACATGTCATCACAAGCATGACCTGAGGCTACATGCAGCGTTTCGGCGCAGCGCCACCTAGTGGTCCGGAGATATGAAAAATGGCTATTTTTGCTCGTAACTTCTGACGGTTTGTCCAAAAATCATAAACTTCATCTCGTTAGATTCAGGGCATCATGCCGAGTCGACTGATATCCAATTTTCCCAGATCGGCCATTTTGGCTGTCGGCCATTTTGAATTATGTGCTAAAATGCTGTATTTTTTGAACGCATGAACGAATTGTTACGAAACTCGGTATGGGTCATCAGTACGATGCCCTGAAGAAGCCTGAGAAGTTTCGAAACAGCGCCACCTAGTGGTGAATTTTTTTTTTCAAACGCTTATAACTTTGGGTGTGGTACACTTATTTTCATGGGAGTCATTTTTTGAGTTCCTGAATCGTTGCCGAGTCCAACGATACTAAACATGCTGGGTTTCGTGTTACGGTTGGTGTAGCGTAGCGATTTAGCGTGAAAAAAACACTTGGCGATATCTTCAAAACCGCTGTTCCGATCGAGACGAAACCACCGCCAGAAACACGGAATCATAGCTTGTTAACTATATGCTAATGCCCAAATGCGAAAATATTGATAGTAAGGGGTAGTAAAATTCAAACAAAGTCATGTGTCAGTCATTTTTTTACGTGTTTTTTCATATAAATGTTTATAACTCGGAAGTGAATTGAGATATTTGCACCAAAATTGACACACATATGTATGGGGTTACTCTGAGGACACATAAAAAAATTGTGGGACTGAGCCTCTTGGTGGCGCTATAATAGAACAAAACGTGAAATTCCCATTGACTTCAATAGAGTTTTGTGAAATAAAATGCTATACTAAACAAATGCATTAGTGTAATATTACAAAACTCAGTGTATGCCATAAGCAGCATGCCCTGAAGGTACTCAAAAGATTTTGAGACAGCGCCACCTGTTGGTCAAAAGTTATAATTAATTTCTGAGAACGCTAATAACTTTTGAATAAATTTGCTTATTGCAATGAAACTGATCTTAATAGATTCGTTGGGTTATGCTGAAAACATAGATATCAGGTTTTCCATAATCAGACAAACTTCCTGTTCGCCATCTTTATTTCTTTGAAAAACCTTCTTTTTCGAACTCCTCCTAGACCGTTTGTCCGATTTTCACGAAAATTGAATCGTATCATCTCCAGACCGTGCCGACTAAAAGTTATGAATTGCACGATGATAGACAAAACCGTTTTCGTATACCACAGCATCAAATTTTAGGCATGCTGCCAAAATTACTATTTAGGCTTTATCTCTGCAATGCCTTCACATTTTGACACCAAACTTTGCATGTGTCATTGTCACCTCACTCTGACCACATCACATCTATTTCGTAACTGCGCCACCTATTGTTCGAAAGTGATAACCCATTAAATCATCTTATAAGTTAATGTTTATGTGATTTTCTTAGCCATTTGCCCAAAGTTCTCTCAAAATGCCCTTAATTGCTCCTTGCTGCAGTTGGTCTGCCACTCCTTGCCATTTTGGCATATGTTGCCGCTTCTTGCGCTTGGCCCCGGTAATGGCTGCTTGCAGCTATATTTTTTTTTTTTTTTTGAAAAGACGTATTTAATGCTAACCAAGGCTACATTTATGTGATCAAAATACAGTAATATTGTAAAATAGTGTTTTAATTTAATATAACTTTTCTATTTGAATATATTTTAAAATGTAATTATTCTTGTGTTGGTAATTTTCAATTTACTGCTGATTTGCTATTCAAGAAAAATGTTCTATTATTATCAGTTGAGCTCCCTAATTTTGTAAATGTGTTGTTCAAGTGAAGTTCGTAACTTTTGTTTTTGAAAGAATGTAAATGAATGTAAACTGTAGTTTTAATGTTATATCCATATACAGTTGTTTTATGGGAAAACATTTCTCAGGAGGATTGTTCACACATTTTGCCTCTTTAAGTATTTCATTAAGGGTTATTAGCTCTACTTGTTTCTGAGTAGACACTCTTATTACAAAAGTTAGTAACCTCCTATACCTGTGATGTTAAAATGATGTTTCTTCCCTGTGTTTTGCATTTTAAAATGAAAAGATTTCAACTGAAATTTAAAATAAAAAAAGAGGGGAAAATGTAATAATGTGGTTTACTTGTTTTTAAAAATAAAATAAATAAATAAATAATTTTACTCAAGTTATCAAGTACACATTACTTAATTTTTTTTAGGGCAACCAGTTTACTCCAATTTTTAAGCATACTAGAACATTGAACTTAAATATACTATGTGTAATAACTGCAAAGTGATTTATATTACAAAACATTTGAAGTTAAATTAACTTAAGTTACCATTACTTAATTATTTTAGGGCAACCAGTTTTCTCACATTTTTTTAAGTATACGGGCTAGTACATTGAACTTAAATATATATGTGTAATAACTGCAAAGTAATTTATATCACAAAACATTTGAATTTAACTTAACTTAAATTACATAAGTTACCATTTCTTAATTGTTTTAGGGCAACAAGTTTGCTCACATTTTTTTAAGTATACGGGCTAGTACATTGAACTTAAATATATATGTGTAATAACTGAAAAGTAATTTATATTACAAAACATTTGAAGTTAAATTAACTTAAATTTAAGTTACCATTACTTAATTATTTTAGGGCAACCAGTTTGCTCCAGTTTTTTTTAAGTATACGGGCTAGTGCATTGAACATTGAACATTGAACTTAGATATACTATGTGTAATAACTGCAAAGTAATTTATATTGCAATTTTTTTTAAGTTAAATTAACTTAAATTTAAGTTACCATTACTTAATTATTTTAGGGCAACCAGTTTGCTCACATTTTTTAAGTATATGGGCTAATACATTGAACTTGAATATACTATATGTAATAACTGCAAAGTAATTTATATTACAAAACATTTGAAGTTAAATTAACTTTATTTTAAATTAACTTTAAAACTTTATTAATTTACCATTACTTAATTATTTTAGGGCAACCAGTTTGCTCACATTTTTTAAGTAGATTCAACTTGTCCGAGCTAACAGTGTGGAAACTGTTATACTTTTTTTCCAGAATACTTTAAATAGAAATTTAAAATGAACAGCTATCATATAATTTTTTTGTAATAATGTAAACATCTGTAATAGTTTTCCCTCTGTTTGCTCACTTCCCGTTTGCCTGTTCATATAGTCCCTTCCCTTGATTACATGGTTATTCAGATTATTAGATTCTGTTTACCTGTTTTCATCTAGTTCACTTAGTTTTTTCCCTAGTATTTAAGCCCTGAGTTTCCCTAGTACATTTATCAATTATTGTCAATACGTCGTTATCTCCTGAGTTATCTGTTTGAATGAATTAAAGACTGTGTTGTTGCCATTCCTTCATCTTCATTCAAGTAACGCAAGTTAAGTAATCAGATTACTTTTACTAACTAGTAATGTAACACATTACTTTTAAATTTACAACAAAGTTACTTGTTTAAATAAGCATGCATTTACTCATCTCGCTTGCAAAAAAAACAGATTCAGTATTCCTCAAAATTATTAAAAACCTTACGCGAACCTGGAATAATTAAATATGTTAAATGACACAAATACGCTTTACTAGCATATTGTATGTGAACTTACCTCTGGCAAAATAACTATTGACCTTCACAGTCATTGCAGTTCATATATTTAATCCTTTATTTTTTACATTTAAACTTACAGGGAGTCCTTGAAGGCCAACTTCTCCGGGGCTTCCAGCTTTTCCGACGTTGCCCTATAAAAGAACCACATCTCCATTATTACAACTATCACACTTTTTACATTGCCACGGTTGACTAAGACAAGGCTGTATACCTTGGCACCTGGCATGCCAGGAATTCCCTCACGTCCATCCACTCCTGGCAAACCCTGGAAAAAGATGTAAAGTTTGGATGTATAGAATAATCTTTAGGCAAATCATTTTGTCCACATTAAGTACCAAAAAAGTACCACACTGTCAAAGTTTCTCATGTTATTACCACCTGATACCATCACTGTAAGATAGTACAACCAATATTTTAATTAAATGTGAAAGTTTATGTATATGTTAAACTACGTACACTATCTCCCTTTGACCCTGGAAGACCAGTGTTGCCTCTTGGCCCTTGAGGTCCCTGCAGAAAGAGATTGTTTCATTAAAATCATTATGTATTGCCCTTAGCATGACATAAGGCATGTTCCTGGACCAACATCATTTGGTTGTTTGAACGTTGTTCCAGGACTAACAAGGATCCTTGGCTATAGCCTACTTATCATGTAAAACTTCTCAAAGGTTGATTTAATTAACAAATACCTCTGTTGTAATGATGGGTGTACACTTACCTGTTCTCCTTTAGGGCCAGCTTCTCCCATTCCTCCTCTTTGGCCTCGATCCCCCTGGATAAAAAGAGACATACCTCTCAGATGTCTGCTAACATTGATTTGTTTATTTACACCCAAGGCTCAGGACATCAATTTCAAGTCATGCCCATCTTCAAAGCTTTCAACTGTGAATGTGAGGTAAAACTTTCCGTTTCATGATTGTTTACAGCTTTAGATTAGATTGGTTTCGTTTGAATAAGGCAGAGGAAGTTACAGAACTTACCGTCGCCCCTGAAACCCCCTGAGGGCCCGGGTCACCATCAACACCTCGAGGGCCCTGTAAAAAAATAACATTGTTTTATTTATTTGTTCATTTATTTATATAATGTTCTTATTTTCTTCATTTTCAGCTTTTTATGTCGGTTGTAGTGCTACATACCATCTAATGCTATTCTAGTTGTAAAAAGAAAAATAGTCTCCAAACAGTAATCCCATAAGATATAAAAATGAGTTGTATGGCTTTTACTTAATATTTCTCATCATGTACTGAAAATGAACAACAATATTGATTTCTTATCTTGTATGCTGAGGTGTACTGTACATATTTGTCCCCATCAAATGCTCTATCTATATAATGAGAATGTTCCTCCCCTGTTAAAACCAAATAACCCAGAAATGTCTGTTTATAAGTGTACCGTCCTGACACATTTTCTCATGGTATTACCATCTGATACCATGAATATATAGGGCCCTATTTTAACGATCTGAAACGCAAGTATCAAGCGCGAAGGGCAAGTAACTTTGTTTGGTCTTGGGCGCTGTTGCTATTTTACAGGTGGGATAAATGACTCTTGCGCTCGACGCAAGTTTAAAACGGTTGGTCTGAAGTAGCTTCATTATTCATAGGTGTGGTTTAAGCGTAACAGAAACAAACCAATAAGAGTGTTATATCACATTCCCTTTAAGAGCATGATGAACGAGGTGTGCTTGTTCCATAGTGTTTTTCTATTACAACGGCGCATTTACCAGGCGCGCTTCACAATCGGTTCACAGACGAGGAGATCGATGTTCTCGTCAGGGCCGTAAAAGAAATAGAAGTGACATTGGAGATGGGACAAACTCACCCAAATTAGCTTTGGTTAAAAATGAATATGATAATTTGGGTAAATGTGTAAGCTTTATGCCTATTTTTCCCATCGTCATGAACACAACAGTGTTTGAATATTTTTCCTTACAATAATGTATATTTTGCAAAAAGTAAAATGAGAGAGAATCATCTACAGTGTATGTGCATTGTTCACACTTCGTATTATGGCCAAGCATGTGCGTTTAAAATAGCATCTGGGGTAACACTATAGTGTATACTGTTCCTTCGTTAATGAATAACTACACAAGAACTAATGAGTAACACAATATTAACAATCTTATTAACAATCTAGTAACTACTATTAACAAAAATAAACTCTTATTAACGAATTAGTAAGTAATAGCTCACAGATGAAAGTGTTAGAGACCCACTTTATGTGGGAATTACTAATTATTTGGATTCGTATTATAAAGTGAAGATCATTGGAACTAACTAGTAATAACTCAAGTGTTAAGACATTTTCTAAAAGTATACTAAAGTTCACCAACAATCTCAAACGGTTGCACAAATCATGACTAGATCATGTAGTAACACTTGAGTAATTACTAGTTAGTTCCAATGATCTTCACTTTATAATACGAATCCAAATAATTAGTAATTCCCACAGAAGTATCTAGTAACACTTTCATCTGTGAGCTACTAATTCATTAATAAGAATTTCTTTTAGTTAATAGTAGTTACTAGATTGTTAATAAACTTTTTCAGTAGTTCTCTGGGAAGTATTAAAAAATAGTAGTTATTGATTACTTAATAGTGAACTACCACTTTCGTCTGTGCGCTATTACTTACTAGTTTGTTAATCAGAGTTTCTTGTTAGTTAATAATAGTTACTAGATTGTTGATATTGTGTTACTCATTAGTTATTGTGTAGTTATTCATTAACGAAGGAACCGTATTCTAAAGTGTTACCGCATCGGGATGTACGCGCAACGTGCCTCCGACTTTAGACTAGGTTTTTTTCTGAACATTGGCGCAATTGTTTTCTGGAACTGCAAAATGCACCAGGGATTGTTTGCACTGAAACACGCCTCCTTTTTGCGCCGACCCGTCCCAGAATCCTGTTCTTGCAGGGAATCCTGAACTTGCAGGGAGCGCAAGTTTATTTCCTAGTTTACCGACGTGCGTCTATGGAGAGAAAAAGCCCGTTTTGCGCGGGTGCAAAATAGGAATGATAAATGCGTCAGTGTATAAAGTCATTTGCGCCGGGTGCAAGATGGGGCCCATAATGTTCATTAGCACTAGTTTGCAAGTAGTTGCACATTATGGTTTTACCACACTGTAACAAACTAAAGGCAAATGGATATTTAAAAAAGAACAGGCAAAATATTGTTATGCTTCAACTTCTCACCTCTATTGAAATCTTACCATTTCTCCTTTGGAGCCAATCATACCAGTGGCACCTCGAATTCCCTGTGGCCCCTGAGATCATGTCATTGAAACAAAGCTTTAAGAAACTAGATCAAGATACAGCCACTAGATTGATTTTTTAATTGAGTGTAGATTGCTCAAATAAACAGGAAATGGACGTACAGTTGGGCCTTGAGCGCCGACCTCTCCAACTGCCCCCTGATCTCCCTCTTCACCCTAAAAAGAGAAAGAAATCTATTTTACAAACTGAGGTCCTATACAATTTTTCAAAAAAAGACAGAGACAGACAGACAGACAGACAGACAGACAGACAGACAGACAGACAGACAGACAGACAGACAGACAGACAGACAGACAGACAGACAGACAGACAGACAGACAGACAGACAGACAGACAGACAGACAGACAGACAGACAGACAGACAGACAGACAGACAGACAGACAGACAGACAGACAGACAGACAGACAGACAGATAGATAGATAGATAGATAGATAGATAGATAGATAGATAGATAGATAGATAGATAGATAGATAGATAGATAGATAGATAGATCATTCTTGCTTTAATGTAATATTTAAAAATGAACTGCAAAGTTTTGATTGAGGTAAATGATGTGTAAATATACTGATTCTGAGCCAAGAATCGTGGGACATTCAGCAAGCAAGAGTGAATTAAATGTCACACACTAACGTATTCTTACAACACTCAAATCCCTCATTATTCTTCATGCGCCAGTGGAGTTTAATTCCTATACAGATCTTTAATAGACAGCATTTAAATACATCCTCCACGTTAAAGCAGCCCGAGCGTGAGACCTTAATTATAAATGAGGCTCTGTAATAATCTCCAAAATGTCACAGTGGGAGAAAAAAAATTCTCAAACACGATGTTTTCTCATTACAACAGACCTATTGCTTAATTTATATTCAGACTCACTCTGGAGAACTTCATGACACATGCTGACCTCAAACACACACACAACCCAGATTGTTCTGGTTCCTCCTTTGTCAGGATAATTATATCAAACTTTTCATAACTAATATAAAGTTCTTGCCTTGTGTCCTTGTTTACCAGGCTCTCCGGATTCTCCTTTCACCCCTTTATGACCCTTACAATGGACAGGAGGACATACTTATTTCATAGTAAAAAGCATGGACATTCATTTAAAAAAAAAAAAAATATATATATATATATATATATATATATATATATATATATACTGTATATTAATAATTGTAAATATTTATACATTTGTGTAAACTTAAAAAAAAGGTGTCTTGATCTTATTAACAAATTCCTTTTACAAGAAAACTCACCTTCATCCCAGGCAAACCAGGATGACCAGATGTACCAGCTGAGCAAGCGTTGGGGCACTTAAAAAACGAAAAGATCCTTTACAGTCAGATTATGTCACTCAGTCCAACCGTATCTAATAGTCAACTCTGAGAACTTTACACGAAAACATATTGCTTATCACAACAAATTTCAGTGTTGAAAGCTTGATTGATGGAGCAGATATCCTCTTACCAGTTCCATTGTTCCGCCCAGCATCCCTGCAGCACCCTGTAAACACCAGGGATTCTCATTACAAGCTCTCACACAATTTGAAAGAAATAAAGGGTGATCAGTTGATTAAGAAAGCCGTTGTGTCACCCTGCTGTTTCACAATTATAATTGCATACAGATGTTTTTAGTTGTACACTGTAAAAAGAGAAAAATTAACTCTTGTTATATTCCGGAACTATTTTTACAAAGATCATGACTCTCTCGTAAGTCCCTTTGGATAAAAGTGTCTGCTAAATGTCAATTTGAAATGACTTTTGATAGTGTAACATTGAAGTCAGTATCATTCATTATGAGTCATTTTCCCCCAAGATGATTGTTGTTTTGACCCAGTTTTGAGTTTAAAGGTCATTGCTGTTAGTCTTGATAAATCACAGCAATACTCACACGGGGTCCGGCTGGTCCACGGGGCCCCTGTGGCCCTCTCACACCCATTGATCCCTGTTATACATAGAGAAACTCATGAATTGTAATACACTGTACTTAAATGACATGAAACTAGAATATTGTATAACTATAATATAGTTATATTATATATATATATATATATATATATATATATATATATATATATATATATATATATATATATTAAGCAATTTATATATATATATATATATATATATATATATAAATTGCTTAACTTGGTTAAAACAAGTTAAAGTATGGATCGTATGATTTATAATATGATATAATTCATGTAATTCTTTACAGTGTAGCTGTATGAATACTCTTATATGCATTTATAAGATTGCTCACTTTTTAAATAAAATTACAAAATACTAAAACTAAGAAAAGTACTACAGTAACAGTTCACCATGAAATAAATACCTAAATAAAACCTATGTTTTTTTTTAGAGTTCAAAGGGTTTTTATATATATAGAGTGTCCAGCAGCTCCATGCCCTTATTTGATTTGAACTGCAGTACCATAAATGAATAATATTAGGGCTGTCAAACGGTTAATCACGATTAATCGCATCCAAAATAAAAGTTTGTGTTTACATAATATATGTGGGTGCATTGTGTATAATTATTTGTTTATTTCTTACTTTTCAAAAGTTCTAAATCTATTAATTCCTTGCAATGGCTCTAGTTGTCGATGAGTGAATCTCATGAAACTGGTCTAGAACATGTAATATTTCATGTTCATGTAATTTTTAAAATCAGATCAACGAAGTAGCATATCAAAAGAAAAGAAAAGAAAAGAAAAACACAGCTAAATTGGCTGCTTGCTTAAATTAACCCAGAGACCGATCAGTGTATTCAAAACAAAATCCGCCATTTTATTTTTTAAACACTACTTCGTTAAAAAAAAAAAAAGGTTACTCACAGGGGGTCCAACTTTTCCCAGCTCGCCCGGAAGTCCTCCTGGTCCTGGTCGTCCCTGTACAAACCAGTATTACATTTAAACCTTAGAGAACCCCTCACTCCAACCACTGATTTTTTTGGTTAGCATATAAAACAAAAGCAACTTACAATTGGTCCATCAGGTCCAAAACCCTAAAAAGACAAAGAAGGTATACATTTTGAACTGAATTATGTATTTATGTATTTTCCCACATTTCTTTACATATTTACAACTATACATATCTGCTCAATGGTGTTTGTATGGTATGCAGGGGCTTTGGATATGTTCAAAAATGACTTACCGCCTCTCCTCTGGGTCCAGATTTGCCAGGTTCTCCCTGTTCCACAACAACAATTACACAGTCTCATTGTAGGCTAAACATAATTTAAAACACATACACACACACACGTTGTGTTTCCATGTTTTATGGGAACTTCCCATAGACACAATGATTTTTATATAGTGCCAACTGTATATTCTATCCCCTTACACTAATCCTAAGCCTAAACCTTCCCATCACAGAAAGCCTTAGCATTTTTACATGTTCAAAAAACATGTACAGTATGATTTATAAGCTGTTTTCCTCATGCAGACCAAAAAAAATGTCCCCTCAAAGACAAGGATCTTCAATATTGCCATCTTTGTGGGGACATTTACCAGGCCACACACACACACAGTCTGGTTCGCTATCTTTGTGGGGACTCTCCATAGCCATGCATACATAAACACTGTTTTGTATGTGCATGACCGCACAATTACTGTTCTGAAATTCGCATAAAGCCACAGAAACTTCCAAGGCCGAATGAAGTGCTGCGTTTGAACATCAGTGAGTTTAACAGGAACTGATGAATCTGACTGGCCCGCACAGATCACTGAGCACACAGACAGGATTAGGAACTAGTGGTCATGTGCAAATACTTTTAATTCCGTCTGCAAGGTCAGTCAGTACACCGATCTGAGCTCAGGTCTCCACTGATGCAGAACCCTGAGAAGCTCATTATCCCTCACCTTTTGTCCTGAAGGGCCATCGAGACCCGGTTCCCCTATAGGGCCTGTCAATCCCTGAGGAACAACACAGAGAGGAAATGTTACATTATTACCCCTCGCAAGAGTAATCGATAACTTACAATTAATTAACAGAACTTAAAATGAACATGATTACACAATTAAACACAGCATTTGATGCCTAAACAAAGACACCCGTCAGTCATTCAACACCTTCGAAAACCCTTCCGTCTCAGATCCGAGTGGATGTTTTCTTGACCCCCACTTCCATTTTCACAGGGAATCCACTTTAATTAAGTCCAGGCTTCGGGTGTCCATGCTTAAACAAAAACCCTGTTGTCTTTTAGGTAGACTTCTTTCCTGTGGTCTTTGCTTCGGTCCGGCATGAGAAATTCCCTGCATTTTTGACCCATCTAAGAGTGCCGCCCACCATCGACTGAACTCTTTGACACTGAGGTTCGTTTTCCCATATAAGACTGTGTCAGTTTTAACATGTTATTGAGAGAATCCATAAGATTTTAATGTGATTCCTTACATCGGCTCCAGGTAATCCAGGAAGTCCCGCAGAGCCAGGTTTTCCGGTATCTCCATCAGGACCCTTCGGGTACATACAACAGTGTGAGATACAACATAACTCTTGAATATAGCAGATAATAATATCAATGTTTGACACAAAAAGCTATATTTACAGTCGAACCCTCTTCACCGGGTTCACCTCTCTCCCCCTGCAAGAAACACACACTTTTATCTCACTGTTTTGTCGATTACATTGCTTTATATTTTAAATAAAAAAAATTACAAAAAATCAACTCACAGCAATGCCGTCTATTCCGGCAACACCAGGAGGACCAGGGGATCCGGCACCAGCCCTCTGTTCAAAAAATAGTAAGCAAACTAGTATTATATATTAAATACTCTATAGTAAATAGTAGAAAGTATTCCTATGACATGTTTTTAGATGCATTGTGGTTATGTAATATTAATAGTCTGTGAAAAATATAGTGCAAACAAAACAGTTTAAGTGTATGCAAGCATTTCAAACACCTGCCATGCAACAGGTGTGCAGTTGTCTCTTCCAACACATGCACTGTACAAATGCAGCCTATAATATTTTACGGCATTTGTTATTCTATTTAAGAAAGCACACTTTCTCTCTTTCTTTCTCTTTACATATTTGAAACGCTCACCTTAAACTCTGCTTCGGCCGTCTGAAAGGAAAAGAACAAAGAAGGGTTGCATTTACCTGCGCCGTGCAGATGAGGGTTATCTCCAACAAAACCAGTAAAAAGGGCCCGCGCACACCTGTAGCGCGAGCCATGATTTCCCCAAAGACACAGAAGCCCCTGTTTTCTCAGATCAGTTGGGCTGACGGATCCCCTGACCATGAAACCCAACTAAACCCCCTTTCAACTATCTGAACTCAAGGGAGACCATAACCACACCGTGCTCATGCATATTCATGAGGTGGTTTGTTATGGGTCTGTGATTGGAGGACTGCGGGACTGTGAGAGGAGGAGTCCGGCACACATTCGAATAGACGGCGGGACATTTTACTAGACTGTGACATTTGACCTCTGTTAACAAACACTAAAGGCTCTGCTGGAAAATAGTAGAGCTGTTAGACATTGTTAAAATTGAGATGTTAGACAAGTCTCACCTGTCTGCTCGCAGGAAGGTCACCGCATGCGTCTCTCTGCGGGACGTTTAAGTCGCAGTGAATCAGCATCGACTGCAGCTCGAACTGAAAGAACAGACAAACAACGATCAAAAAGCATCATTTGTAATGTGAGCCCGTGGGGTGTATCGAATGGCTTATGCGTATTGTTCAAAAAGAGATTGATTAGTTTTTGGCATGAGAAAACGAGCTGTTTTATGCTGCACTTTTTTGTTTTGGCAGAACAATGAATTTAAATGAGTTTAGAGGACTGTGCTCATAATATGTACATAATATATCATTTGGTGACACTTAATTTAAAAGTTGCACATAAAAAGTTACTGAAGAAGACACAAACCTTTTGTCTTTCAGTATAAAGACACACACACATTCCCTTATACACTATATTGTTCAAAAGTTTGAGGTCAGTAAGTTTTTGAAGGAAATTCATTACTTTTATTCAGCAGTGAGGCTTTAAAATGATCAACAAGCATTCATATTTCTATTTCAAATGATGTTCTTTTAAACTTTCTTCATCAAAGAATACTAAATCAAAAATGTATTCAGCAGCAACTGTTGTCAACATTTATAATAAGAAGAAATGTTTCTTGAGCACCAATTTTAGAGCATTTTTTGAGCATTTTAGAATGATTTATGAAGGATCGTGTGACATTGAAGACTTGAGGAATGGCTGTTACTGTATTTTTGATCAGATAAACGCAGCCCTGAGCGTGACGAAATGACTTCTTTCAAAAACATTTGAAAAAATCGTACCGACCCTAAACTACTTTTTTTTATGTATTACACTGTAAAAATGAATATGCTTTATCTAATCAATAAAATTGTGGCAACAGATTACAAGCAGTATTATTAATTAAATTGAACAAATTAGAAATGAGTAATAATTAATGAAATTATTCCTTAAAAGTTAACCATTTAAAATGAGTAAAGTTTACACCAAAAAATTAAACAAAAATATCGGAATAACAGACAGACGTCAAAGATTAATTAAAAACTCTTATATTTTATATTGAACATCATTGAAGACACCTAATGTTAACAAACAGAATCACTGAAGAAGAAACCTAAAACAAATACCGATCACCATAATGGCGACTTAAATGTATTTTGTGTGTGTGTGTGTGTGTGTGTGTGTGTAAGTTTTACTCATATTAAATGGTTTACTTTTAAGGAATTAATTTGAATAATTATTACTCAATTCTAATTTGTTAAATTGAATTAATAATAATTTTGCTTGTAATCTGTCGCCCCATTTTTTTCTTTTTAGATAAAGCGCATTCATTTTTCATTTTTACAGTGTAAGACACGTTATGTGAATAGGGTAAAACAAATAAAAAAACTAACATATATGACCACTTGCCCCGATTGATTACATCAGGATTTTTTTTTTATTTTTTTTTTTCAAAATGTAATGTTTAAATATTAAATATTTCCAGAACAGAAATCTGAACACTGGATGTTTTATTATGTTGAAATATTAAAGGTTTTACTGAAGGATATGATATCACTCTTAGAAGAAAAGGTTCTATATATAACCTTAAAAGGTTCTATCAGCACTATGCATTTGGAACCCCTAAAAGGATCACGCTTTTAATGGTTCAATAATAAGAACCCTTTAGGGTTCTTTGTAACCAGGAAAAAGGTTCTATATGGAATGGTTCATTCATTATCATTTGTTTTGTCCTTTCCTGATAAAATGTTTCATATTATTGACAAACATCAAGACCCTAAAATCTATTTATGAATGCATGTGAATGAACACAAAATTCAAAATATGGGGATTCGAAAAAGTATATATTTATATAATTTTATGTAGTTAATCAATATCACATGAAGAGTGCCATTTCAGTTTTTCTCCTCCAAAAATCAGCATGATTAACATGTGATATTAAGTTACTACAACAGTTTAATAAACAATAATTTAACTACAAAATGTTGCAGAATAATATAATATATTTGAATGAATAATAGCCTATAAGTCAAGTCAAGTCAAATCACGTTTTAATTGTATCAAAGCAGCTTCACAGTGATAACATGAAAGTAATACAACACAGATCAATAATGTTGTTGAACATTAAATGTCCCCAACTAAGCAAGCCAAAAGCAAGGCGACAGTGGCAAGGAACCAAAACTTCATCAGGTGATTGGATGCAGAAAAAAAAAAACCTTGGGAGAACCCAGGCAACCTTTATAAAGAACCTTTGTGCCAAAAGGGATCTTTCTTGTCATTATAGAACCTTTTTTGGCATAAAAGGTTCTTTGTAGTTGAATAAAGAACCCTATGATTCATAAATAGAACCCCAATGAACCCTTTTTTCTAAGAGTGTCTGGTATCATATTATATGATTGGATAGGATAGATACATTATTGCACACATAACTTAGACAGTTACCATTGATAACAGATCACTCTAATTTCTGTAAAGCTGCTTTGAAACAATGTATTGAGAAAAGCGCTATACAAATAAATATGAAATGAATTTAATTTAATGAAAAAATAGGATAGGGTAGGATAATTTGATATGATATGATCTTGATATATGATATGATTTTGATATGATATGATCTTGATATGACATAACAGGATAGGATAGGATAGAGATAAACATACTATTTTAGTGTATGTAGTTCTATTAAAGTGGAGAAAACGGAGTTTGTCATTTTGAGAAAACAGATTTTGAATCTGCATTGTAACTTGAAATCTACAGATACAAACACACGCGGAATTAAATAAACACTTAAAAGTGGATCTTGGATGTTCTCTTACCACTAATCTGAAACAACACAATAGGAAACGTGAAATAGCCAAAAAATCTCAAAATTGACCAGTGCATAAAACACGTCTTTGCCTGTAGTGTGACTTTATGTGGTTATGCTATAATGCATCAACTATCCACAAACAGCAACAAATGAATGTCTCCCTTAAGATCCTCGATCCTTTATGATATAAAAGTTCTTAACTGGACAACTAGACCAAAAGTAAGAGAAAGGCAAATGTTTGGTTTTGTCTAATAAAACAACGTCTTAACTTTCGATGGGAAAAATCAGATATTTTATGCAGGTCAGCTGTTGGACTAGAACCTCACTGCTAGAATTCCCACATATCTGCTGAAATGTATTTGTCAAAATCCAGATTCCATTTAAAGAGACAGTCTGCCGCAGAGCCTTTAAACAGCCTTCAAACTCACCTCTCACAATGACCTCAAGAAGAAAATGAACATATGTAACTTGATGTTTTGGGCATACAGAAGTATCATTATATTCTTTAAACTGCCTTTGAGTCACACAATATTACGGTTTCCCCAACTGATACCAAACCAGTATGGAAGAAACACGTAAAAAGACGTGTATTTGTGTAAATACAGATGACAAAGAAAAGTTTAATTTGATTCTCACCGGCACAGCTATTGCTGAATTGTCCTTCAGTTTTCCAATATGTGTGAATCCATCTAGGTTTACTTGTCCTCTTGGTGCCAGCTGCTGTGAATCTGTTGCTATACAATCTGTTATGAGACTCGCAGAGCCTTTTTTGACAAGCAGTAAAATGTTGTGCCACTGAGAATTGAAGAGGAGTGTTTGGTAAGGGAATAAAGCTGTCATCCCTCTGTTCTCCTGGGTTCTATATGAGAACTCCACAGACAGGGCCTCCCCATTGAGTCTGACGGCGAGCTGTTCCTTTCCATTCAGATCTTGCATTTGCCACATATTCCAGCTCTTATTCGGTGTATCGCCGCTCATCCGATATGTTGCAGAAAATGCAAATTCCTCAGGCAGCCCCATGGGAAATGCAGATCTGATTCAAGGGTGGAAACGCAAAACTCATTTAGACGTGATTATGAACAGAAATGATATACTAATGTAGTCAGTAAAGTGAGTTACTTATTTTACAATATTTAAATGACTTATTAGCATGATTACTCTCAACAAAACAGTAGGTACAGTCACTTTGAAACATACCGTGATACTGAATGAGTATTGTATTGACATGTGTATCTTACTCTAAAGTGTTTCAAAGAATACTATATGGAAAATATATATCCAAATCTCCAAAAGAGAATTTTTGTATTTTCTTTGTATTTTTTTTTTTATCAAAAATAAATAACTTGGTTTATGTCAATAATGTAATTTAATTCAGCACCATGGACAGAGGAAGTTCCATCCGTAACCAGAAGATGTCGCCATATGTCAACAGTTCAATTCATTCTCAAGAGTTTCCTTAGTTAGACCATTGCACTATCAAAGCTTAAGTGCAAGTTTTTTTTTTGTTTTTTGTTTTTTAAACGGCACCCTTATCGTCTCCGTGTAAACTACAAAACGCGAATCTGTTACGTCATGCACGCTGAGTAGGTTATTACATGTTTAGGCTATAGCTGTTTTTGCAAATGAAACTATACAGATATTAAGCCTCCTGACTTAAGTCAATAATTGTATACCTTAAAACTCATCTTTGATCACCAAAGTCACATATTTAAACGCCTTCATCTTCATGACTGAAAATAACTTGAAAATTCTCACATTGTGTTGGACTCTGAACCGCCGAAGCCCTCCTAGCAACTGGGGGAAAGAGAGAGGGTCTGAGTCTCGCTCTAGCTGGACCGCCCTCGAAAAGAGCTCATTTAAATCTCACAGCTCCCTGTTCAGCTCAGGTGGCTGGAGATTTTCAGACTGTTGTCAATGGGCCCGTTGCACTGCCTGCACCCCTACAAACAAATGCTGTTTTCACAGCGACCCAAATAAAGCACAAAATGAGTATGTTTCAAACATCTTTACAAGGCGGCCCTCCCCTATAGTTGTCACTTTATCTCTGGGTCGGAACTGTCAAACCAGCCCAAAAGAGAACAAGTGCACAAAACACAACACAAGGGTAGCTATTAGGTCCCCCTATGCTAGACGGCCCAGCACCAATCTATATTCAAACCCTAGCCATGAGGGCCCAGGCCTGGCAAGTCATCCCGATGTGTCGGACTGGGTTTAAAACAATATAAAGCGGGGCTACTTGCTCCAATTCGCTACTTCCTTGTGCCAAAGAAGGACGGTGGCACCCACCCCATTTTAGATCCTCCGAGACATCAGAACAAAGCTCTCATGAGATTACTGTTAAAAATGATAACTACCAAACAAACTGTTACCGAGCCAGAACATAATCTTTCTGGGCACAGTTATCGACTCTACAATGATGAGAGCGCGGCTCACACCAGAGCGCACTCTCTCTATCCAAAAGCTGATAGCCTCCTTCAGAGTAGGTGTGCGCACGCCCCTCAGAAAGTTTCAGAGGCTTCTCTGTCTCATGGCCACTGCATCGTAAGTACTCCAACTAGGATTACTGCATATCCGCCGCCTTCAGCTCTGGCTAAAGTGTGTGTGCCTGCCCATGTGTGGCGGTCCGGACACCTGCACATTATGGGGAAGCAGCGCTGCAGCAGCACTCTGGTTCCCTGGAAAGCCCAGAACTGGTACCAGTTGGGCCCTCCTGGCCGCTCTTTATGATCCCATAGGTCATCAGACGGATCAAGGAGAGCAGATGCTCAGTCCTCAAAAAAATTAACTAGGAAGGTTGTGCACTTTACATAATATATATATATATATAGTTTACTTATAATAATTGTGTTTTTTGACTTGAATTTTTTTTTCTATTAAGGTCTATATGTAATTATATATGTAATTATGTAATTATGTATTATAATCCTAATGCGTTGTCTAAACACAAACCATTTATGTTAAGTAAAAAAATGTGTCGGCCTACATCCAGATTAGTATAGTGCAGTATAGTGCGAGATTTTGCCCGAACTTAATTTTATTGTGTTCAATCTGCTTAAATATACGTACAACTTAAGTTTACTTAATCCGTTTGTGTTGGATTACATGATTGATTTGTGTTGCATTAAAGTCCCCGTGAAATCAAAATTGAACCTATTTACTTTGTTAGCGCATATTACTAGTCTTGTGGTGAACAATTAATCCGTGCAAGTAAAAATATATTTAAAAAATGTTTTACCTTCGTAATCTTTAATCAAAATCTGAAAAGTTACTTCCGGTCTGGAACGGTTTCTTTTTCTGATGACGTAGGTTTCACAACTTGGGTGGGGAAACGCTTAACCACTCCCCTTAAACCGTTAGTTTGCTATGAGCGAGAGATGGAGAGGAGGAGCGCTAGAGTAAAACCCTGCCCTCTGTTCAATATTCCGTTTCACTTGGAAATACGTCACAGCACTGGAGAAAAATCTTTTGCAACTTCCGGTTCACGGGGACTTTAACTGAAACTGGGCAGTGCTTTTAGTTCCCAGCATGCTTTGCATATGGTTAAATTAAGAGAGAATAAATGTTAAAATTAAGTGTAATTTTATGGGGGGTTATGGGGTTTTTTGTGAGAAATTTAGAAAAGGGGGAGACTTGATAGTGTGTAATAGTGTTTAATGTTAAATTACATTGGAATTATTAAACCATTTAAATTACAGTGGGTTACCATTGTGGAGAAGAGTGGAGCATTTTGTTTTCCTGTCGACTGATTTTATTAGTTTGGATGAAGGAGCATGTAAATACTAGCATTCAGGATGCTAATTTGTGCTACTGCTAAATAGCTAGCAAAAGTCTATCAATTTAATTAAATGTCACTGAATCAAATGAAATATAAATGGGTGAATGAATATAATAAAATGCCTTTGAATCATGCCAGGAAGCCTTTAAAAATTCACATTGAGACTACTTAAATTCGGTAGTTTAAAATTAATTAATTCCATTATGTTGAAGTTACATGAACAAATTATGTTTGTTTAACATAATCCAGTTATGTGGAACCTGTTGACGAAAAAGCCAACATATAATAACAGGCATGGTTTCCAGAACTGGTGCAGGTGATGGCCAATGAGGAAGGATCTCTTCACACAGACGAACTTGGCACCCTCACCCCGTCTATGGGCCCTCTATCTGTGGCCCCTCATCGGGTATCCTGCCTCCCAGAAAAGGTCTTGAAGGCTAGAGCAACATTTAGGCGCCTCTATGCTCTGAATGGATCAGTATTCACTGGCTGGTGCTCAGCCAGGGACCTCGAACGCCAGTCTCACGAAGTGTCAGTGGTACTCTCCTTCTTGCAAGAGCTTTTGGATGTGAGTCGCTCCCCATCCATGCTCAAAGTGAATGCAGCCTAGCCCGTTCTCATCCTTTAGCGTCACATAGAACGCTAAATGACAAAACGGCGCTGTACTACGCACATGGCACCCTTTATCATTAATATTCACGCGAACCCAAGGCGTCATAAATCCTTTCGCGTAATATGAGACTACCCTACCCTACCCCACACCTAAACCTAACCATCACAGCGCGTGTTATATTAACGATAACGTGTGCCATGTGCGTAGTATAGTGCCGTTTTGTCATAGCGTTCAATATGACGCTAAAGGATGATGCTCCTGAGGCTGACCAGTCACTGTGGAGAAACAACCTCATCATTCGTTTCCTCAAAGGAGCCAGGAGGATGAGGATCCCTTACTCTCAGGGAACCGAGGTTACGTTAGTAACCGAGTACGTTTCCATTCACCATCTCAGAGTCATCTCAGAGATGCCTCTTGTGCAAATGGAACTCTTTACAAGTGGTTATAAGAATTACACAAATCAACACAATGCTATAAAATTTTGTTTTCATGGAAAATACAGCATTATTAGTCGTTTTCGTGGATCCGTGTGAATGGGGATCATTTTGATAACGTCATCTGTAAAGCACATCATTGACGTGTAAACTTTCAACTCATTTCATATTTGATTATCTTTACACAATTACTGAACGGATTTCTAAAGCAACTGGTCTCCATTCAGGTACAACAGCCTGTAATTTTCCTGTTGGGATATCTCACTGTCAGAGGTGTTTACCTGGTGTTAATCCTGAAGTTGAACTCGGGGCCAATCTTATATGCTACATGTTGAGATGTCGTTCCAGGCACTTTCCTCACCATCCCTCTCCTGGCCATTTCAGCAATGTTGAACTGAGTCATTATGTAAAATCCTATGGGATATCAAAGAGACTGAAGTTAAAGAAAAGCACATTTATTCCAAATGTATGTTCTGTTTTTTAGATGTTTACCTGGAAATATGTCATTCCCATCTTTAGTCTGAGGACACACAGTTTGGTCTGTCTGAAGGTGGCTCATGCTGGAAAATGGCATGACTTTGAAGAAAATAACATTATGTTTAAATAGCAAGTAAAACCTTTTTCCCCGCATCTTTTATTGCTTCACCCATTCTTTCCTTTTATTTCTTGACTCCTCCTCCCTGTGTTTGATGAACACACATTGCTTGTGGGGAATCTGTGTTGACTGAGTGAATAACACAATCGCACAGTGTTTGAAAAGCTGCACTCCCCTTTGAGTTCAAGCATTTTATTGTTTTCAAGTCTGAATTCTTATTTGATCCAAAAACAAAAAATCACTGATATAACTAAATCATTAAAGGCACTTACCGTGTGCATGAAGACCAGTGGAGATGCATTGTTTGATCATGTTACACAACAAGTAGAGAAAAACCTCCCTAGAAAAAAATAAAAGTGAGTTGATTGTGATTTGTATATACACAGTATATAAAAATGTATGTATAAAATGTATAAACTTCATGTGAATATTTTTTCCATTACATAAAACATAGCTTAAATATCCAATAAAGAAAATGAGAAGATAAAGGAAGAAAAAAAGAGAAAGAATTTATGCATTACCTCCAGATCATTTTTCCTGATTCACAGATGTTCGTCTCACACAGGAGGCCTCTGATCTGAGAAACCCAGCCAGATCTCACCAAACAAACTAACTGAACATGATCTGTAGCTGACCAGTGAGGTGAGGAACAGCTGACAACCCCAAAACATGATGCTGCTGCTCATTTGTCCTGGAGGAGGGAGCTGCTCCTTTCGTTCCTTTAATGACCAACAAAGAGGTTAAGTGTGACTTCTTGGACTTTTATAATAAATTGATAAATCTAATGATTGGGACTTATAAGATTAGTTTTATATTCCCAGAGTTGTTGTTTCATTAAGACTCATTTCGGCATGTCGGCACATGCCAAATTGTAAAGATGTAATAACAAATTAATTTTGTTATAAATTTGTTATAAATTTGTAATTTAAATTTACATTTGTACATCCATTTTTTTACTGAAATCTATCTATCTATCTATCTATCTATCTATCTATCTATCTATCTATCTATCTATCTATCTATCTATCTATCTATCTATCTAACTATATTGTGTGTGTGTATATATATATACAATATATATATATACAGTATGTATATATATATATATATATTATAGAACCTCATTCATCAATAATCTAATCTTTTTTTTGCCACTTGGAAGTCAGAAAATATCATTTGGATACAAGTGTCTGGAAAACACTTCTCAATCACTTGCTTTAAAACACAGCAGTTCCCTTGGTAACATCCACTGTGAATACAAAGTCACAGATTTCTCAGATGGATGAGGATGGAAAATTTCCTGTGTTGGTCAAGCCTCACAATTCTCCTGCAGAGGTACGAATAAGACACCACATGTGATTGGCTGTTGTGGCATATATCTTCAGTTCATATAAGAAACACAGATGCACTGACAACAATACTTACAGTTGTGGTTATTATTATTCTTATTCTATACAGAGGCAGTTATTATTCTTCATCGGCTTGCTTCTTTTTGTTAGTAAAATCTGCTATGCTAAATGCTAATTGCTAAATGTCCAGCTCTACATATAAATGAAAAATAAACAAGTGAAAAACAGACAAATAAATGTCTGTATAATTATGGTATTTTCAACAAACTGCTAATTTAGATTATCATAGTATCTTTAATTATGTGAATTTTGATCTTTATATTGCTAGAAGGATTATGGATGTGACAAGGATTATCTGCACAATGGTAAATTAAAACCAGATAAACCAGCTATAGGCTTAAGTCATTTGAATACCAGAGGAACTACTTTGAAAATTCAACTCCAAGACTATTTGCTTTGAATGATGTTTGCTCATACTAATCTACTTTCCAATATGGCACAAAGTACAAAGTAGTAAATGTAACTATATATTAGTGATGAGATGAGTTAATGATGTCTGTTTGTGGAAGGTTTTGAGTGACAGGAATCACAAACACTGCAACTGACATAGCCTACGCCACCTATACACAAACAAGAACACTAATAGTATACATTTGAAGAGCCTTTAAATGTTCTATCTTTATATTATTAGATTAATAGACTAGTGTGTGTGTGTGTGTGTGAGAGAGAGAGAGAGATTGTTTATAACACCTAAATGTCTCCAGTCTGGTCCAGTTGATAAGATATCTCAGCTGGAAAAAAAAAAAAAAAAAAACTTAAAACAAGCCACGATCTAGATGGTTTGCACACTGGTTTAAGGTCTTCCAGCCTGGTCTGCTGAAATGTGGCCAAAACCACTTTAAAATCATCCGGGACCAATAAACAATATATATATATATATATATTTGAAGAGTTCAGATGCAAAAGCCTCTAAGTGCCATTTGAAATTTTCTTCTAAAATGATAATTTTTATCAAGCTTATATGTTCAAGTTCAGTAATTTCACTTAAATGACAATTAATAGGTAATCCTCAATGTAATTTAAGTGAAATTACTGAACTTAAATATACAAGTTTGATAAAAATCATCATTAAAGAAGAAAATTTCAAATGGCATTTAGAGGCTTTTGCATCTGAACTCTTCATATATATATATATTGGTCCCTATTGTTTAGAGGTCCCTAGTGTATATATATATTAGAGGTCCCTAGTGTATATATATATATATATACAGTATATATATATATATATATATATATATATATATATATATGAAGAGTTCAGATGCAAAAGCCTCTAAATGCCATTTGAAATTTTCTTCTTTAATGATGATTTTTATCAAACTTGTATATTTAAGTTCAGTAATTTCACTTAATTGTTATTCAAGTGAAATTACTGAACTTAAATATACAAGCTTGATAAAAATCATCTTTAAAGAAGAAAATTTCAAATGGCATTTAGAGGCTTTTGCATCTGAACTCCTCATATATATATATATATATACTTATATATATAAACTTTATTTAAGAATCTGTTTTGAGGTTTTGTTATAGCATAATATATCATAATATGACTTCACTTTATGGAGATATTTTAGAAGAATATTAAAGAAGAAAATTTCAAATGGCATTTAGAGGCTTTTGCATCTGAACTCTTCATATATAGCCTATTGGTCCCTATTGTTTATAGGTCCCTAGTGTATAGATAGATATTTTCTCCAATATCCTTCGAAAACGAAAGTGTCTTAAGTGAATAATTATAATATGGAAGCAAGTGAAAAACGTATAAACAATAAGGGCAGGAATCATATTAACGCCTTTGATAGTGACCGGCGGTGTTGTACCGGCTTGTTGTGAGCGCCTCCCTTAAACTCACTCTAACAGCAAGTTTAGACAATATTTATGATCTACGACTCTCGCCGCACACCTTACGGAGATGTGACTCATTTTTCATCCAATCCGAGCGATCTGGACTTTTAAGTCTTTGCTGTGAGGACGGGACATAACAGAATTTTAATCGACATGCAGAGGAATTAAGCAGCGTAGTGATCGGAGCGTCGAGGCGGGATCGCTCTGAAATCCAGGCCGCGGATTGAGGCCCAAATTCCCGAAGCGGATACACGTACGTGGTTTTCGATTACATAGCAGCCAGATATTTTATAAACTATTACTGTTTGTTGAGCATGTAGATTTGACAGCGTGCCCGTTAACTTACGCAAATAGTGTGATGTTTGTAAAGCTGGTAACGTTAACGTTATTTGATAAGCAAAACAGACTAGCGCCAGCGCTAACTGCCCTAACGTTACAGGAATTAAAAAGAAAAGCTGTTCAACAAATCATGCTTAAATGTTGAGTATTTGTGAAATTGTTAATCATATTACTGAAAATCAAATGAAATTGATAATAATGTTTAACGTTTGTTGAATTATCAAATGCAATCACGTGCGTATAACGTTGCATTTTAGAAATATTAAGTTAACGTTAAACATGTATTAGTTATGTTTAAAAACGTTTTATATGTGATTTATAGGATTGTGTTGATCAGTTAACATGAAGAGAGAAGATACTGAACCGAGTCACTGTCAGGACGGGTGAGTCATTTACATATAATATTATCTTTTACACGCACACACGTAACTAACGTTACCCAAATCACTCAAAATGTTTAATGTAACATTTTCCCTATTATTTCTCCATAACTATTTGTAGTACTTCTAAGTCGTCTACTTCTACGTAGCACATAAGTCAGACAAATGTACAAGGCAGTGATTATGAATTGTGGATCTTCAGAATTGTAGGTAATGTAGCATTTCATTGCGAATTTGACAATTAAGCACAATTTTTAAGTTGAAATGACAGACTTCTGGCTCGTACAGAAACATGACTGAGCTGATAGGCATGTCTCAACACATTTAAATCGTTAATACAATTTCCCAATGGGAAAAAGAATAGGATTTTTACTTATTATCTTGACTCTTTTGCTCTATAGATGTCTGAATCAGAGAGAGAGAGAGAGAGAGAGAGTGTGGAAGGAAGCAGAAAACACAAGAATATGAACATATGCCAAGAAGTAGGGCAATAGTAATATCATAACTTAAATTTCACAGGCACAGCTCAAAGGAAGGAAAGTGGCCGCCCTTACACAAATATGCCCTGTTTTCTGTTCGTATCTGCACACGCAGTGCTGAGACAGTGGGACAGGGCTCTTGTGCTCTTAGCTTAACACATGTTTGGAAGGAAAATCTTGCTGTGGTTGATCTGATTTGACTTTGTGGTTTGCATGTGTTCGGCGACTGCAGTTCGTTTTTCATTTAAGAGAGCTAATCTGTATTAATGAAAGCTAAAGTCCCTGATAATGCCACAAAGCACATGAAATCCTCCAGAGACCCCCGCGGGGGAGTCCAGCCAGCATTTGCAGAGTTATTTGCATCGAATCTTCTGAAGTGTGCTGGACTTGTCAGGATCTTGCATCACACCTCAGTACTGTAACTGTGAATTGCAAATAAGGGTGAATCATTCTGAAAGCCTGTGGGGTGTGTGAAAGCATTCTCTGGTAATTCAGAACAAGCAGTGCTTAAAGATATTAAAGTGAAGAGCGCTGAGAATACACTGTCTTGTATGTTAATTCATGCATGCTTGCAGACGTGAATGCCTCTGCTATATTTGTGGAGTTTAAATGTCAGGAGGTAGTCAAACTCGTTTCATGAACTTGGGTCAGAGTTGCTTGGTGTAGTGAAAGGGCATTTGGTTTGCATGTGAAAGTGCATGTTGGAACTTTTTGACTTTAAGTCGACTTCTAGAGGTTTTCAAACCGATTTCAGATTCTATTCAATTTCTAGTGTAAGTAAATGATATAATAACTAAAACTCTGTCATTATTTACTCGCCTTAATGTTGATTAAAACCTGTATGCTTTCATTTCTGTGTTTTTCAGTGAAGGGGGGATTATAAGTGTACTTTGGGGTTAGTACGATTTTTTTTTTTTTAAAGAAATTAACTTTTATTTCGTAAGGAGGACCTCATAAGTGACAGATAATGCATAATATTATTACAAAAGATTTATATTTAAAATTAAAGCTGCAAGCAGCGATGGGCGGGCCCTCGCACCTGTAGCGCGTCGGGGTGTGAGGCGGCCGCGTCGCATATTTTGCAGCTCAGCCGGTGCGGCTGTAAATTTGCTACGCTGCTTCATTAAAGGTCACTTCCTGTTGCCAGCAGGTGGCGCTATGACTGGGTGAATGTCGGCATGTAGATTTGTTCAGGGCGGGACTCTTGTCAAATGTGTACAATTTGGTGCAGATCTGGGCATTTACAGCCAAGTTACTACAACTTCCTGTTTCATGGCGAATCATCGATGCCACGGACACGCCCATTGAGGAAAACACGCAGATAGCACAACTTTTCATCGTCAATGCCTTTAGAAGGCACAGCAGAAATTTGAAGTCGATCCGACTAACTCCCTAGGAGGAGTTAGTTAAAGTACGTAATGAGTAAATCATCCAAAAATGGCGGTGAAATTAGAAATGGCCGACTTCCTGTTGAGTTTAGGGCATCGCTCCAAGAGACTTTTCTGTGCGGCTGGACATGGTAGATGTACCACTGAAATTTCATACAGGTCGGTCAAACATGCGACGGGGGCTGCTTCGTTAAAGGCCACTTCCTGTTGCCAGCAGGTGGCGCTATGACTGTGGGTGAATTTCTGAATGTAGATTTTTTCAGGGCGGGACTCTTGTCAAATGTGTAAAATTTTGTGCAGATCTAGGCATTTACAGCCAAGTTACTACAACTTCCTGTTTCATGGCGAATCATCGACGCCACACACACACCCATTGACGAAAACGCGCAGATAGCACAACTTTACATCGTCAATGCCTTTGGAAGGCACAGCAGAAATGTGAAGTCAATCCGACGAAAGCCCTAGGAGGAGTTCGTTAAAGTACGTAATGAGTAAATCATCCAAAAATGGCGGTAAAATTCGAAATGGCCGACTTCCTGTTGAGTTTAGGGCATCGCTCCAAGAGACTTTTCAGTGCGTCTGGACATGGTAGATGTGCCACAGAAATTTCGTACATGTCGGTCAAACATGCGACAGGGGGCTGCTTCGTTAAAGGTCACTTCCTGTTGCCAGCAGGTGGCGCTATTACTGTGGGTGAATGACAGCATGTAGATTTGTTCAGGGCGGGACTCTTGTCAAATGTGTAAAATTTCGTGCAGATCTGGGCATTTACAGCCAAGTTACTACAACTTCCTGTTTCATGGCGAATCATCGACGCCACGGACACGCCCATCGACGAAAACACGCAGATAGCACAACTTTACATCGTCAATGCCTTTAGAAGGTACAGCAGAAATGTGAATTTGATCCGACTAATTCCCTAGGAGGAGTTCGTTAAAGTACGGAGTGTGTAAATCGTCCCAAATCGGTCGCCAAATTCAAAATGGCGGACTTCCTGTCGAGTTTAGGGTATGGGTTCTTGAGGCTTTTTTGTACGTCTGGTCATGCTAGATGTACCACAGAAATTTCGTACATGTCGGTCAAACATATGGCGGGGGCTGCTACGTTAAAGGTCACTTCCTGTTGCCAGCAGGTGGCGCTATGACTTAGGGTGAATGTCGGCATGTAGATTTGTTCAGGGCGGGACTCTTGTCAAATGTGTAAAATTTCGTGCAGGTCTGGGCATTTACAGCCAAGTTATTACAACTTCCTGTTTCATGGCGAATCTTCGACGCCACGGACACGCCCATCGACGAAAACGCGCAGATAGCACAACTTTACATCGTCAATGCCTTTAGAAGGCACAGCAGAAATTTTAAGTCCATCCGACTAAATCCCTAGGAGGAGTTCGTTAAAGTACGGAGTCTGTAAATCGTCCAAAAATGGCCGCCAAATTCAAAATGGCGGACCTCCTGTCGAGTTTAGGGTATGGGTTCTTGAGGCTTTTTTGTGCGTCTTGATATGATACACGTCCCCACCAAATTTCGTGCATGTAGGTTGAACGTGGACGAGGGGCTAATTTTTTTCAATTTTCTAGGTGGCGCTATCGTGCCATTTTGCCCCGCCCATCCGCGAAACCCACAAAATACGAAATTTTTCACCAGTCCTGACATGCGTGCCAAATTTGGTGAGTTTTTGAGCATGTTGCGGCCCCGAAAATGGCACTTACTTTGCAGAAAAAAGAAAAAAAAAAAAAAAATTAAAGCTGCAAGCAGCGATGGGCGGGCCCTCGCACCTGTAGCACGTCGGGGTCTGAGGCGGCCGCGTTACATTTTGTGCAGCTCAGCCAGTGCGGATGTGCATTTGCTACGCTGCTTCGTTAAAGGACACTTCCTGTTGCCAGGAGGTGGCGCTATGACTGTCGGTGAATGTCGGCATGTAGATTTGTTCAGGGTGGGACTCTTGTCAAACGTGTTAAATTTCGTGCAGATCTGGGCATTTACAGCCAAGTTACTACGACTTCCTGTTTCATGGCGAATCATCGACGCCACGGACACGCCCATCGACGAAAACGCGCAGATAGCACAATTTTACATTGTCAATGCCTTTAGAAGGTACAGCAGAAATTTGAAGTTGATCCGACTAAATCCCTAGGAGGAGTTCGTTAAAGTACGGAGTGTGTAAATCGTCCCAAATCGGTCCCCGAATTCAAAATGGCGGACTTCCTGTCGAGTTTAGGGTATGGGTTCTTGAGGCTTTTTTGTGCGTCTGGTCATGGTAGATGTACCACAGAAATTTCGTACATGTCGGTCAAACAAGCGGCGGAGGCTGCTTCGTTAAAGGTCACTTCCTGTTGCCAGCAGGTGGCGCTATGACTGTGGGTGAATGTCGGCATGTAGATTTGTTCAGGGCGTGACTCTTGTCAAATGTGTAAAATTTCGTGCAGATCTGGGCATTTACAGCCAAGTTACTACAACTTCCTGTTTCATGGCGAATCTTCGACGCCACGGACACGCCCATCGACGAAAACGCGCAGATAGCACAACTTTACATCGTCAATGCCTTTAGAAGGCACAGCAGAAATTTTAAGTCGATCCGACTAAATCCCTAGGAGGAGTTCGTTAAAGTACGGAGTCTGTAAATCGTCCAAAAATGGCCGCCAAATTCAAAATGGCGGACCTCCTGTCGAGTTTAGGGTATGGGTTCTTGAGGCTTTTTGTGCGTCTTGATATGATACACGTCCCCACCAAATTTCGTGCATGTAGGTTGAACGTGGACGAGGGGCTAATTTTTTCCAATTTTCTAGGTGGCGCTAGCGTGCCATTTTGCCCCGCCCATCTGCGAAACCCACAAAATACGAAATTTTTCACCAGTCCTGACATGCGTGCCAAATTTGGTGAGTTTTTGAGCATGTTGAGGCCCCGAAAATGGCACTTACTTTGCAGAAAAAAGAAAAAAATTAAAGCTGCAAGCAGCGATGGGCGGGCCCTCGCACCTGTAGCACGTCGGGGTGTGAGGCGGCCGCGTTTCATTTTCTGCAGCTCAGCCAGTGCGGCTGTGCATTTGCCACACTGCTTCGTTAAAGGCCACTTCCTGTTGCCAGCAGGTGGCGCTATGACTGTGGGTGAATGTCGGCATGTAGATTTGATCAGGGCGG